AAGACCTGGAAAACTAAAAATAAATAAATAGATAATAAAATAAATAGAACTTGGAATGTGGACAACACCCAATTTTGTTTGCCTCATTTGTTGTTAAGTCACTTTTGTCTCACTGCTGTCCTTTGTAGGTATGGGTTCTGTCCTGGAAATAATCTTGTTCTACTTTATCCAAATTTATATGGAAGTGGCTCAAATTCAGCTTTATTGTGCTGAGATTCCCTATTTCAGACTGTTGGCCTAAACCAGTGGGTCTGAAATACAGGTGCTTGAATTACAGTTCAGCTCCATGGGACCTCAGTTTTATTCTCATCTATTCATTATCTGGGTGCTGGCCAGTTAAGAGGGTGGGGCAGGGACATTGGCTTGAGCCTTTGCATTCATTACAGGCTTCAGATAGAGATTTCCGCTGGTTTGACAGTATCTACAAATACAATCAAGAAAGCCCTGGCAGGGTAAAATGAATATATTTGTTGTACAACCTAAAATGCCACACTTTTTGTAACTGTTTTCCTCGGAACCTAAAAAAAGAAGAGGGCCTCCCTCAGCCTGTGAGAGGCCTTGTTCAGATACATTTTCTGTCTTTAGGAGAGAGAGGATGAACCAGGTAGAACCTTGGAGTTCCTTGTAGTATCAGTGATGGTTTTCCAGGGCTTTTGTGTGGAAATGGTGCACTGGACTTCTTCAGAGCAGAGACAGTCATAGGTGACATTTTTAGGGTCTAAACCAATACTTGTGCATGTGTGGATTGTCCTTAGCAACTCTTGTGATAAGAAGTAGTTCAAGAAGCCAACTTAAATGTGAGAGAAAGAATCAGTGAGTCCATGAATGCTTTCAACTATGAATGCTAATACAGTACCACTGAGAAGATACCATAGCCGGGCATGGTGGCATAGGCCTGTCATACCAGCAGTTTGGGAGGCAAGTTCCAGCTCACCCTGGGCTTAAACAGTGCAACTTAGCAAGACTTTCTCAAAATAAAAAATTAAAAAAGGACTGGGTATGTACCTCAGTGTGAAGGCTCTGGCTGCAGTCCCCAATATTGGAAGAAAAGAAAAAGATATACTATGATTGATTTTAAAACAGTTCTTTTGGACAAAACTATTTGTAGATGACACCATACAAATGAACAAAGTAATGAGTGTAAATGTTTAGATGCTTTATGTGAATTAGATACATATATATGAGTTTATAGCAGAATCTGTGAGAATCCTCTTGGCAAAGAAAGCTGAAAATGTAAGCAAGCATCAAATGGTATGAGTGTGTCTAATATGATATATTCTAACAAAACAAAGCACTGTATTATAAGATACTAAGTTTGTATTGATGGAATGAGATGTGAAATGAACTTGGGATAGCTCTCTATCTTGATCCAGGAGTAGGAAAGGAAAGAAAAATATCCTTCACATATGTGGGGATGAAGTGATCTTTTAATAGCGTTATTCTTAAATGAATAATGGGTGCTTTGATGAGCAAAGATAAGAAAAAGTAGAGCATTTGCCTGAAGGTACAAATAACTTTTCTGGGGACATTTTAGAGCCATATTACAGAGATTGTGGAAGGGTAGAGCAGGGTTTTTTTGTGTGTATTGATTTGCTTGTCAAAGTTGTTAAATGACTTGATTGGAAATATTTTCAAGTTAGCAAAAGTAGAGTCTGCCCCCTCTCAGATATTTTATGCCCGATTTTTTTGTGCCAATGGACTTGGAAAAGAGTCGTATGTCTTTAGGTTGCTGAGAGTTGTTTGTGCTTTTTGTTATTGTGATGTGAAGAGACATTAACAATCACCGAATTCACAAAGCAGTCTACTAGTAGAAAAAGTCTTGTGAAGTCTTATATTTTTCACTTGCCTTATGAAACATCATTTTACATAATTTGGGAACGACTTTGTTTTTTAATTGTGCTACATGTTTTCATAGTAATCAGGAGTAGATAAAAAAGTAAGTACTTTTAACAGAATATTGTACAATTCTAAAAAAATAGGGGAAAGACACATGAGATTTGTCTTGCATAGTTGGTTGCAAACAATTCATTTGTGTCCATTATGGGGCCATACTGAACAAAGAAGCTGAGCAGTTTTGTTTTTTTGATGTTTTAGTTTACATACTTTCATTTTGTCTTAAATTCAAATTTAGTGCAGGATAATACTTAATACTTTAATTTACCACACAGATCATTCTCTTATCTTAAACTTTGCTTTTACTTTCAGTTCTCTGCAGTTGTATAAAAAAAGAAAAAATCACAGCGTGATTGTGAAGCTCATGAATGGACTTCAGGCTGGTCCATTGGAAGAGACCACCAGAATTCAAGAGTCTTCATTATAGTGCTATTCAGAAATTAAAATTAGGTTAAATGGATAAAAGTTGGGTATAGTCATAGTCCTGAGTCAGGGTGTTGCTGTGTAGTTCAGGCTGGCCTCCAACTTGTGATCCTGCTGCAGTCTCCCAAGAACTGGGGTTATAGGCCTTTGCCACTCTGCCTTGCTGAGACATTTTTAGATTGTAGGTAATAGAGTTAATTATTCTGGATTTGGGGCAGGTAAGAAAAGGGGAGGGTGATCTCTTTACCTCTCCAGCACCGTTTCTTCTCTGTGGCATGAGGATAAAGATATGTATCACACAGATTTCTAAGAGGATATGTTGACAGTGTGTTTAAATATTCTTAGCAAAGTGTAGAAGATTGGATACAAATTTCTTTCATTTACAAGAGGGAATACTCTGGAAGCACAAACCACTGTAGCCTTTATCTATTGAGATTAGGGCTGTGTGTATTACAGGCACAGATGAACAGTTAGTACTATATTAGTACATTGGGCAAGAGCTAGCAGTCCCAGATTCTGATTTGGGTGTTATTTTTTTTTTAGCTGAGTGTCACCTATTTCTTCATCACAATTGATGAATAGTGTCATGATAGTGAATTACTGAATAGAGTGAACTTTACAAATTAGAGAATGCCTTGTAAAGGACACAGGAAGAAGAGAGCGAACCCTCCATTGATGTCTTTCATCTTATTAATTTTACCTTGCTTTGTTTTTGCTGTTAATACTATTCAGAGTCCCAGCAGGAAACATATGGCACGCTCCTGAGTGACTGAGGAGAGTTTTATGATGGGACTGTTTACAAAGATACGGACCAGATGCAAACAGTTAAGGAGTGGCAAGAGCCAGGCAAAGGGAGAGAGCAGTTGCTGGAACTCGGTGAGGGTAACCTTGTGAAGGCCACCAGCAGTAGCTGTGGCCTTTTGGAGGCACCTCTGTGGTACCCCGCAGGAAGGAAGCTGAGGGAATAAATACCCTCCCTCTTTCTTCTCTTTTTGGCTCCAGAGGACAGAAAGCTGTAGATAAAACTCATACATAACCAAGATGAGAAGAGATTGCAGTGTTTTATATTTGAAGAGATTCCAGATCACCTTGTTACAGGTTACAAGAAGGGACTGGTTGTGCTGCCACTTGCCTTGCAAGTGCAAGGTCCCAAGTTCGATCCCAGTTATCCTCCCCCCAAAAAAAAGAAGGAGAAGAGGAAGAAGAAGAAAGAAGAAGAAGAAGAAGAAAGAAGAAGAGGAGGAGGAAGAGGGGGGTAGGGGGAGGAGGATCACATATCTCAGGATGCTGGGGGTAGAATCATCTTTCATTATTGCCATCTGAAGAGTTACTGCTTCCTAAGATACTGCATCTGCAGTTATTTAAGAGTGCTACCGTGAAAACTAGTACTTAACTTGAATTTTTGTGATTATTTATGAAGATAGTAAGAAAATTTACCTGCCAGAAACACAAAATGAAATTAGGACAGATGTTGTATTAATAGGTTTTAGTTCTTAACTTCCTCCTTTCCGTTTAGTCCCCCATTCCTTCCTTTTCTTAATCCTTGTTGAGAGGAAAGGGCATTCAGGACCCTAGTCATCCTGTTTTATTCTATTCTTCCCATATTTAATGTACATAAATTTCATTTTTACTTTCTTCATTGTTGAGTGGAGGCAGCGATATTTTCTGTTTAGGAAATTTGAAGGGAATGAGAAAGGACATATTTTAAAAGTCAGTTCTGTTTAGAAAAATGAGGTCTTTGTATTCATAATTTTACTTTTGTTGTAGGATAAATGTATTGATAGTGAAAAGCCTTGATCTTTTCATCTTTGTTTCTTCTGATAGGCATCTGTACCTCTGTTAGAGATTATCTTCAGGCTTGTGGCAACAGACGAGATTGGGTGCGTTCAGGGTGGTATGGCCGTGGACCAGGCTTATGGCAACAGAAAAGAAATATTGAAGTTTGGAAAAATGATATAGCACAGAAAAAAATGAAATCCAATAACAATACATTTCTGTGTCACATTATCACAAACGGACACAGAGGAAGAGAGCCAGGGTATCTCTCCTGGATTAAGTGCTTCCTTGGAGTAATGTGGCTATCTAAACCCGCCCCACCTCTCATAAATACAGAGGATACACGTAGAGAATGACTCTTGTTCCTATCTTACCAGGCTTCTGTGCTTTCCCTATATTACATTCCATATTAGAGAAAATATATGGAAAATTTGAGGCCTTTTCCTCTTAATCTCTTTGAATAGCATTTGTGTAAGTGTTCTGTCATTTCAAGAACCATATCCTGACTAAACCCAGTGTCCTGAAAGCAATTTAAATATCCTCCAAGGAAGAGTTTGATCAAGTTTTTATTATGTTAAAAAATGCTGTTATCATTCTTTCTTATACATGGTTAAAAATCTTTGTCAAAATTCATGTTGAGTGGCTTCCAGAGAGGTGATGGTTTTTGTTTTGGTGTGCATGCACGTGTGTGTGTGGGGGGGGCGTTGCCTTTTGAACTCATTTGCCTTTGAAAGGGGCTCTAGGCTAATTTTTCTAAGTGTGCACCATGGGTAGCATTTCCACTTGTACTGATTCTCCTCTCTAGGGGCCTTTTGGGGGCATCAAATCCAAGGCATGGTGTCTAGTGGTGCTGTAGTCCAATGTGAAGGTATTGTAGTTTAATGTGCTGCTGTTTTCTATTTCAGGGACAGGAGAGAGTGGCAAGAGTACATTTATCAAGCAGATGAGAATCATCCATGGATCAGGATATTCTGATGAAGACAAAAGGGGCTTCACCAAACTGGTGTATCAGAACATCTTCACGGCCATGCAGGCTATGATCAGAGCTATGGACACACTCAAGATCCCATACAAGTATGAGCACAATAAGGTAGGTGGAACTCTTCATTGGAGCAGTTGGGCAAAGCTATCAGCAATGGTACAGCAATATGAATGGTCTCTTAAGTATACTCCTGTTTTTGAAATGTACAGTCCTCATTTGGTTCTGAGGCTTTTAATGTACACGTTAAGTGTTTATAAATGTCGCTTTCTTAACTCTTAAAAAATTGGACATTGTGTTTTAGTGATAGTGAAACACATTTGGATATTTGATAATAAATATATAGAGGCTTAGATTTTAGGGGACCACATTGTATTAAGGAAATGGTTTCTGAATGCCATACAAATCAGCCAGAAGGAAGGAATTCAAAGATGCAGTGGCCTTGCTTCAACTTCCCGCTGTTTGTGCTTCCTTGAAAAAAGAAAAGCTTGAGATCATTCTGTCTGGTTTAATTTGTTTTCATTGAGTTTATTGGTGCTTTTAAAGCATACAGTACAGTTACAGTCATTATTGGGATCTTGTACTCTTATATGACAGATCTTGGTTCTCATTTTTCCCCGGTGTTCTTGCCCTCCCTTCACCCCCTCCACCCTTCCCTATTTACAAAGACTTTGTTCCATTTTTTCGTTTTCTCATATTTTTTCTTTTCCCCTACCCTTCCCACTTCCCCTACACTTTTAGCCCTTTTCTTCCTATTTCACATTGTCAGTTATACAATTTGTATGTTACTTGCACTTTCAGTTTTTCACACCAGAGAAACTATTTGGTATTTACACGTGTGTCTTATTTACTTCACTTAAGAGTATGGTCTCAGTATGCATCCATTTTCCCACGAATGACTCTAGTTTCTCATTCTTTATGACCAAGTAATACTCCACTACCTGGTTTAATTTTGGATTTTGTAGCTTCCTTTCAGTAGTGCCACAGGCTTCATTTTATTTCAAAATAAAGCCATCTGGCAACTTCTGATAACCATTTCTACACCTTCCCTTATAACTGTTAAAGTAATGGAATCTTATAAAACCTTTTGAGAAAGGCTGAGGGAAAAATAAAATTTCAGCTTTTTAGAAAGCATAATAAACTTTTGTAATGCCTAACAGTATCTCATAGTTGAAATAAAAAATTTCTTCCTAAGTAAAAACAAATTCTGTAAATGCTCTTTAAATATTACAAAGATAGCAAAAAATACTGTTGTTATATATTTGAGGGTGGCTCCACATTGGACTTCATGCTGCACTTGCTCTACAGAAAGCTCGTAGGCAGGGACTGGAGCTACACCTGGGTCTGATAGCCTTTTCAGAGACCGCCAGTCTGAGAAAAGGAAAACCTGGAATTTTTAGAAATGTCTTTATAGTCTGTTTTCTTTCTTTCCTCTAATCAGTAACTCCCCCCTCCCTCCATATATATTTTTGATAGGTATAGTTTTATATGCCTTATGGCTTATAGATACTGATCTAATAGTAAGCTGATTTACAGTAAGCCTCACTGCATTTGTACTTACACAGTAATTTATAGCCCTTAAGAATTTTCTTTCTCTCAGTACCCTTGAGAAATCTACTGTGAGGCATATTTCCATTTGTGACCATCAATAGATAATAGTAAGAAGTTGGCAAGCCTACAATGACTCATAAACTGAGATTTAGTTCACAAAAATGAATCCATAGATAAAATGAGGATATTCTATGTACCTGCATTGCTGTTATTATTATCAAAAGGTTTCTAAATATATTAAATCATCTTAAAATTAGGCATTTGATTTTCTTGAATGGGTCCTTGAAATTAACTGGCAGTTTCTTAATTTAATTGTTATGATCACACTTGATGCAGCAGGGACACCACCAGTTCTAATGAGCCCACCCAGCATTTTAGAGAAACATTTCATTTTACTTAGGTCATGAGTAGTCACCAGAGGACATGCCAGCAGGTCACAGAGTCACAAGCCTGCCATTTCTCTTACCCACTACTTCAAACTCCTTCCAAAATATGCTATAAAAAGCCTCTTCTCCTGTAAGAGACACATTCTCTGTTCTGCTCACACAGAGAGATCCCTTTAGGTTTAACAACAAATCTGCTTGGAGTTTGCATCCCTTCTTTTCCTGTTCAACACTTAGTTTTCCAGTGGCAGTTAATTTCCATAAGTAACAAAGACAACTCTGCAAGTAATTCTGCTGCTTTCACTTTTAAGATTGAAAAGAGCTGGGTAGGTTTGTGAGTCCAGGAACCTGATACCTGAACCAGGGTAAACTGCATATGGGTTTATCTAACAGTCTAAATTGTAAAAGACTAGGTTTGGGTTTCTTTTGTTGTTGTAGTTTACTTTGTTTTGTTTTTTGTCTACATTAAGAAATTCAGTGTAATAAATTTCTAAAACAGGTAGCATGCTTATTTTTTTATAGTTGTGAGAATATGCTATTGAAGAGTGTTGTTTCTTTTGCCAGTGACTTTTGTAGTCAACAGTTGATATGATGATCTGGTGAATTCTGGCTAAGTTACCATCTGCACTGTGTATCTGTTTTGTACATGTACACATGCATGCTTGTTGGTTTATATGTTATACTTTAGTTCAATCTACATAAAATTTTCCAAAAAGATTTCTTAGGTGCCCCAGAAGAATACTTCAGGATCTTGCCCTGATGTTAGACTGTATAGGAAAGTCATTTATTAGGCCACCATGTAAATGCAGAGGGGATAGGGCAAGATTTATAACATACAGAAGAATATTTCACACTATGTGAATTCATTATGTTAATACTGACTATATTTTACTATGTCAAGTACTCTTCAGTTATAAATTGACAACATAAAAATTATAATATGGTCTTTTTTTTCAGCTTTAATTGAATTTATTGGTACATTTTAGGGATACAGTACAGTTACATTCATTGTTGGGATCTTGTACCTCCACATGACAAGTCTTGATTCTCATTTTTTCCCCTTACCCCTGCCCTCCCTTCACCCCCTCCTCCCCTCCCCATCTACAAACACTTTATTTTCATTTTTCATTATCTCACATTTTTTTCTTTTCCCTTATTACCCTTCCCCTACCCATCCCACCTTCCAATATGGTCTATTTTAAGCTGTCGTAATTATCCTATGAAATCTTCCTGTGTCTTTTGGTCACTCAACAGACTAATATTGCCTAATATTGTGACATCAGTATATGATGAGTTTTGAAATCCTCATATTTAATCTTCTTTAATTCAAAATATAAAGTACTTTTGCATTTGTTCCACTTTTGGTACATCGTATACATATTCTAAAGCATCACTGTCTTGTTTGCACGCTTCATCCATTAATTCCCTACCCTCTGTCCACTCCTTGTCTTTGTTAATACATGTTAAGGAAATAATGTCTTCTTTCTGTTTAAGACAGCTGTCACTTCTTCTGAAGAGTTTTTCTCTGTTCCCACCATATATTGCACACATAAACTATAGTAGAGTGTTTAATGTAATTGTCCAGCTTGTACTAATTGTGGTTATTTGAATATTGATCTTATTTTCATGATCAGATTCTAAGCTCCTTGAAAGTAAATCTCATGCTCGTTCCATCTTTGAATTCTTCATTGTCCTTGGCATTGTGTTTTGTATATAATAGGTGCTCAAGAAATAGGTGTTTTATGAATAGACAAATCATTTTTATGCTTAAATAGCTGAAAATCTAAAATTGAGGAAAAGACTCTTCAAATCAGTGAATAGCCCTAAATTGCATGTATTGTCAAGGATGTAGACGTTTAATTGGGGTTGAGCAGAAATTTACAATCAGGAAAGGGGAAGGACGTTTCAGGGGGCGCTTTGGAGAGAAGGGATGGCTGGAACAAATGTTGGAAGGAAGGACTGTGCATACAGTATTGAAATGGACCGGGTTAGCTGAAACAGAATTCTTAAACAAGAGAATTCCGGTTACCCTTGTGAAGTTTTGAATCCAAGCTAAATTTGAATTTTATTTTCTTGTGTTTATGATCCTTATTTAATGATAATATTTTATATTTTGTTATTTTTACAGAAAATCTAAGTAAAGCTGTACACTGTATATTCTATAAATAGTGTAAAACGTCACGTAATGCTGTGTATTTGATTAGCAATTACTTGGAAGCAGTACATTCTGGTTTATATTATGTTATGACATTAAAGATATAAATAATCTTAAGCAACCATTTTGGCTTTTTAAAAAGCTCCTCTGTACCTACCATCATGATGGCCATAATCTATAGTTGGTAGCATAGACAAAAACATACCCTTTCGTTATTGTCTGGAATATCTTTGGACTTGCTTTGAGCTTATTCATTTTATAAAGCAAAACATAGCCTAAAAATTAAATGGCCTGTTGGCTACTGGCGTATTATGCATAGCTTTTTTGTGCAGTTGGGTCTAGCTTTGAAAATACCATACCAAAATGATGGAATATCTTTTATTTCTGCTTATGTGATATGATAGCACAGCATGGGGAAAGTTTAATAGTTTTTGAAACTTGCATTATAACAAAACACACTGCAATTCATTGCCCCCTTGCTTCAAACACATTCATCCCAATGTTCTTGCCATTTTCTAAAGCAGTTCTGGAAGTCTTCTTTCCTGAATGTCTTTAGTTGTATTTGAGTGGCTGCTTCAGTGTTGTGAATCAGTTTAAAACATTTACATTTTGTGATCATTTTGACCTTGGGAAGAACGGGAAGTCACATGATGTCAGGTTCAGTGAATAAGGGGGATGAAGACACACCATAATGTTTTCACAAGCCTTTCCATTGGGTGGCACTCAGCAGCAGCATTCACTGTATTTTTGATAATATATCATCAAGACACGAAAGAAGCCTTGTATGCCATTTTGTAAAATTTATCCTGTTTTAAGGGTTGCATATCAGGAAGGAGCTTGTAGTAAATTGTAATAAGCTGCAGACACATTAGATTGAGATTAATTTTTCCTCAAATGTGTATCTATATCCTGTTCTCAGACTTCGTTAAACAAGCAATGTTTATAGGTGAGTGTTATGGTTTATGTTTAGATGTCCCCCACAAAACCTCATGCTTTTTCTGAGGTGGCTGAATGTAGAGTGT